GTAATTGTCACACACTCTTAAGAGTCGATAATATTACAGCAATTTCAGCAATAAATCGAATGGGCAGTATTAAATATTATGCATTTAAATGATATAGCATATCAAATTTGGCAATGGTCCGGAAAAAATAAAATATTTTTATTTGCCTTATATGTAAATACCCAAAATCTAGAATTAAAATCAATGATACGGAATTTTCACTTAATGAAATTATTTTCAAAGACATCGTTGCAAAATTAGGCGAACCTGAAATCAATTTGTTTGTATTTAACATTAATAACATGTCAAAAATACGTTTCATGGCACCTAGATCCAGATTGTGTAAATATTGATGCTTTTACAATTACATGGTCTAACATGTTCTTTTATGCTTTTCCTCCTTTTTCTATTATACTTAGAGTTTTAAATAAAATTATGAAAGAAGCCGCAACAGGTATAGTTGTAGTACCTTATTGGCCTACACAACCGTGGTTTCCCCTTTTTAAAAAAATAATTTCTTCCAAAATTCTATATTATGGACCATCTAAAACGTTAATTATTTCTCCTTCTAGAACACCACGCCCTCTAAACAAGAAACTTATCCTAGCTGTCGCGAGACTCTCAGGAGGTCTCTTCACGAAAGAAACATACCAACTTCAAGTATAACAACATTAATATCGTCCCTCACTTTAATCACTCAACGCCAGTATAACACTTTCTTATCAAAATGGTGGGACTATGCAATTTCTCACAATTTAAAAATATTTAATCATTTGGGTTCTGTTTAGAATTTCTACAACACGAATTAGAAAAAAGCGCATCATACTCCACTCTAAATACTCATCGAGCGGCATTAGCACTTATAATAGAGATACACAAAGACGAAGGAAAACTTATAACCCGTTTCATGAGAGGAGTATTCAAATTAAAACTATTTTTTTCCAAAATACACAAATACTTGGGAACCTCAACAAGTTTTATCTTATTTGAGCAAACTAAATTCACTTTCAAAACTCACACTTGAGAATGTAACCCTAAAGATGGCCATGTTAATGGCACTAACTTCTGCACAAAGGGTGCAAACCCTATCCAAAATTAAAGTATGTGATATTCATCTTCATGGAATCGAAAAAATTTAAATAGTTATTACCGATCTATTAATAACAACAGTACCAAATAAACATGAATCAGCTCTGATATTTCCTTTTTTTTAAGAAAAACCGGAGATCAATATTTGTTTCTAACACACAAACGACCACATCAAACCGCAACCACTCAAACAATAAGTAGATGGCTCAAAACCATTCTCGCTAAAAGTAGAATCGACATAAAATTATTTCAAGCACAGAGCACGCGCCATGCTTCAACTTCGGCAGCTGCTAGGTATGGAGTGGATATAGAAACCATTAGAAAAACTGCAGGGTGGAGTGAAAAATCCCAAATGTTTAACAAATTCTATAATAAAAGCATTAAACCAATATTTGGGAGAGCGGTACTCTCCTCTACGACATAATTTTTTTTGCAATTATGTATAAATATATTATGTAGGTATATTTTTATGTTGTTTGTTACTAGAATATATTTAATTACGTAATAATATTTATATACACATTTTGTATAAATTGTCTTTTTGACAGATTATTACTATTATTGTTATAATTATTATATTCACTGTTATTAATTAATTAAAAAGCAATATACTATTAAAAAACTGTTATTTTCGTATTTTATTTAATTTCCATTTCACACTAAACAACACTTCCTTCATATCGCATTTCTTTAAACAGCTACAAAGTGTTATATATTGGAGAACAGACAAGTGAAATATAATTAAAAAATTGAACGACTTACCTTAAGGAAGTTCGATCTAAATTATATGAACTTGTCTGTTCTCCAATATATAACCTCCCACCCCTCCTAATACTTTTTAGATTTATGCTTTCCAACCCCTTTTGGTACCATGTACGAGAGGTTTATGAATACTGGGTGAGAAAAATTCATTTCTATATACGCTGTGGCACAACAATATCACGAGAGATATACTACAAAGTGTTATATATTAGAGAACAGACAAGTTCATATAATTTAGATCGAACTTTCTTAAGGTAAGTCGTTCAATCTTTTAATTATACTTTTCATAGTCACGTACAGGACATATCAATATGACTTATTGTTTATTATATGTTTTTTATGTATGTATATTTTTAAATTATATTTGTAAACTTATTGATTCATAATAATAAACATTCATTCATTCGTTCAGTCTACCGGTCACTGGTTCTTAAACTCTAAAGCCAATCTACCTAATTTAATTTGATCAATAATTGCTTGCAATCATATTTTCAACAATTTTATTATTGAAAAACTTTTTTCAGCTTCAGCTGTATTAACTGGAGTCAATATATTATTTGAAGCACGATATAAACATTAGGATAAAAGTTTTTATTATAATGACATTGGCCCACTTGTTTTTCCATATTAGTATTTTTATTTCAGATACATTTTTAATAACTTTATTCAATGTCAGAGATAAAGGGAGAAATTAAAAATCGTAAATTAGCCACCCTATCAAATAACTTCCCAAATCTTATTTCCATAAAAAGATAATTATAAACTGTTAAGAAGATAGTCCTTTGATAATATTCTTTATATGCATGGTATTATGGTATGTTTTCTTGCTTGATTTGTTTTGAGAAACGACGCAGTTATGTCAATATTTTCCTAGTCTAGAAATGCTCTTAATTTTTTAAATATTTTATTAAATTCGCTTGATGCCACTTTAAAAAGTATATTTATCATTTACGTCAAATAAGTCACATGTAGGACTTTATTTTTTAAAAAGAGTGTTAACAATTTTTGACAAATAAAAATATTTATGATCTCACTTAGCCCCAACTCCTATCAATATTTCAGTAATTAGATCTCTGAAAGTGTTATTATATAATTATATTATCTATATCTAAACAAATAAGTCAACCGACGTAAGATCGGGTGAGCCCGCAGGTCATTCAATTTATCTGTGTCTTAACCAATAATTTATGTCTTTTAATTCCACAAGTGTTTCTACACTCACGCGTTTCAATCAACACTCTTGATCTTTAGCTAATCAACGCTATGGTTTGTAGTAATTAATGTTCTCAGCTGTTCTCTTTTAACCTGCGGATACATTGTTCGTTACGTTGCGTGCAAATCCAGGTCGTAATCGTGAGTGAAATATCCGCGATGGACGTCAATTTGGCCTAGCCGATTTCCATTAAACCATTCCCTACCGGCATAGAACACATCAACAAAAAATATTTAGGTCCGTGAGTCTTTTTTTTTTAACCTCAAATACTGTAGTAACTAATTGCATACCATTGTTAGGTTTTATAATGATGTTGTTAATAATATAATAAACTGAATATGACAAAAAAATAAATAAGTAACAAGAAACTGTCAATATTTTTTTTAAATATTATTTTATTAAACTCTGTAAAATAATGTCAAAAAGAATACCAAAATTTATCATCATCAGATAAAACGAATTCTTCAATATTCTTACAATATAACTTTAATTATAAATTATCCCCTTTCGAATAAATTTTAATCCCTGAAGCCGGCCGACCTTGGCGCTCCTGGGCGATCTACAGATGATTGATGATGCCATTTGACTTACAGGCGAGAAATAGCCGGAAAACCCCACCTACCATCATCGTAAAGGTAACGCACTGCGATTTGTAATTTGGATGCCACATTAACAGCAATTAAATTACGGCTAATACAACATCCATCAAATTCTACAACAAATCATGCGAGTTAAATAAAAATTAACTTAATCTGGTCAAGGATCTTAAGCGTGTGTCGCTATATTACTAAAAGGCAGCATTTATACACTGCGCTACCAAGTCAGTTATAACTAGTTACAGATAATAAAATTATATTTATATTTCAAAATGAGGTTCTTTGGTTTCAGCATTTAAAAATGACTCATAAGATTGCTACCGGTTATTTTGATGTGGAGGTAGCTGTGAGCATTAGACTATGTAAGGTTCTTGGGTTCTCCTAACTTTAGTTGGTGTACTAAAGGTCGGGCCAGAATTTAATATTTCATATACCTAAATGTAAATGAAATGATAAAAACTATGCACATCAGTCAAATTTATTTTTAACTTCAGTAAAGAAAACTAGAGACACCAAAGTCACAAAGATAGAACACGATTAGTTCTTGTTACAGAAAATAATTACAAAATATATACATTAGTCGAGTCGTATACAATAAGTCCTATACAAAGGATCATCCAGCGCTTACAAATAAAAAATTACAATAAATGCCAAATAGGTGTACATGGATAATAGGGTGGGCCGAAAAATTAAAATATTTCATTTTAAAACGGAATACCCCCAATGTATGACTTATGATATAACTTATCTTTGTTTAAAATTACAACCAGATTAAAGGTCATCTTGTGCCCTCCACATAGCCTTCAAATTAAAAAAAAATCTCACATTTGTACTTTTTCTAAAATAATAATTAATCATTTGCATATCAAATAGGTATTAACACATATTTTATATACTTAAGTACTAAATAAAGTATTTAAGTTACCTTATTTCATTTCCTTATATCCTTATAATTTTACGTCAACTTGGCAGAGCAGCGTAAGCTGTCGCCAAGGTCATCACAGTAATCGGTTATTGCTGCATTGTATTATTTGAGTCAGTTGATAATACGAAGCGACCGCGTAAAGTCAATCGTGTTATTTGTTGTAAGCGTATTATTATTTGTTTTTGTGTATTTCTATATTTAAAATGTCTGAAAAGTAGGCTATAGTTACCAGAAAAACAGTAGTATTCCTTATTTTGGGATATCCAAGTAAACTAAACCATAAAGTTTTTCCAACCATTAAGGATGTGTTAAAATTCCAAAAATTATCCTTTTAAAAATACAGGAAATATAAAGTAATGCATCAATTCCAATAGTTTCATCCAAACGAATCGGGCAAATAGTTCGAAAATATCACAGAGTATTTACAATTCTTAAGGTTTCCTAAAACCAGGCGCAATAAAAAATATGAACTCAGACTAGCAGAGTTTTTGGCCAAATGCGAAAGTAAATTATTTGATGTTTTCTCTTGTAAATGCGAACCAATTTCTTCTTGTTCGTGTGAAAAGTCGCGTAAAGTACCACCTAAAGAACAAGCATTTTTAGAAGATCAGAGGACAAATAGAAAAATGGCATTAGGACCAGTTGATGTGAAAGAAACTGAAAGAATTTTAAAGTTAGAAGAAAGAAAACAAAAGACAACCAATAGAATTACTAGTTTCACGTCAGTCATCGACAGAGAAAAGTCGACTTTAAGCACTACATTGAAAAGAAAAGGACCTAGTTTTGACGGAGTAGTTAAGGATGATCCTTCCTCCGTTTCTTCTCGTGTTCATTACCTGTGTTGAATAGAAATCTACTTAAACTTCCGACATTAGCTAGAACTTGCGATCAGTTTGGAGTCTCAGATAGACCTGCAGCAGCAATTGCATCGCCAGTTCTACAAGACGTTGGTATTGTGACCGACGAAAATCTAACAAATGTAATTAAAAAAAAAGTCAGAAGAGCTCATGGAAAAGCCCGTAGTTTATTAAGAAAAGAGCACACTTATACGTAAAAGCATATATTTTGATGGGAGAAAAGATAAGACATTATATCAAGAAAAAATTGATGGACAATTTTCATCGCAAAACAATTTCAGAAGAGCATGTTTCCATAATAGAAGAGCCGGGGTCCGTTTACATTGGGCATGTATCACCAACTTCTAGATCTGCTAAATCTATTGCAATGAGTACTTACGAGTTTGTTGTAAAAAGAAATGTTAGTTTTGATCAGATGTCCGTTATTGGTTTCAATGGCACTGTAGTAAATACCGGCTGTAAAAATGGGGCAATAAGACATCTGGAATTACAAATAAAAAAACCACTTTAGTGGTTTATTTGCCAGATACATGCCAATGAGCTGCCATTATGACATTTATTCAACCACCTGGACGGGCGAACAACTGGTTCAGCAGAATATATAGGCCTAATAGGAAAAATGCTTAAGAATTGTGAAACTCGGCCAGTGGTAGATTTTGTTCCTGTTGTTGGATTTTTCCTGAAGCAAATTCAGATGATCTTAGTACCGACCAGCAATATTTGTACAAAATATATCAAGCTGTTTCATCTGGATATTGTGAGCCTAATTTAGCCAATTTGCAACCTGGAAAGATCCCTTATGCGAGGTGGCTGACTAAAGCAAACCGACTCCTTCGACTCTATATTAGTTGTGAAAATCCATCGGAAAATCTCGTTATTCTTGTCAATTTCGTAATAAAAGTGTATGCTCCGATGTGGTTTTCCATAAAAATGCAACCTTCATGTAAAGATGGTGCGCGACACGTTTTTGAGACAGTACAATTAACAAGATACTTAGACGATACTTTAAAAAACGTAATAGACCTAGTTATACAACAAAATGCGAACTTCGCTTATCGTGAGAACATTTTATTAAGGATGATAACGGATGATCGTAAAGTTATACGAGAACTTGGTCTCAGACGCGTTTTAAAATCTGGAAGTACTGCTCGTTCTGAGATAATTCGAGAATTTACAGGTCTAAAATTAAACTTTAATGCTACAGAGTATACCGAACTACACCACCTCCTGTTTTAGCAAATATCACCAATGAAGAGCTTAAATTATTCATCGAGAATAATGATACCTTGGAGTTTCCTCGTTTCCCATCAAGCACAAGGCATCAAACTGTGTGATTGGTGAGGAAGCACGTGCTGGATTTATTCATCTAAGAGTTAAATCACGTGAAATTATATCTCACTTCCATCATAAATCCGAATATAAAGTAGCTTAATATGTAAGAATTTTGTAAATGGTAATATTTTTATTTCTAAACGTTTGTTTTTTTTTGCAATAAAATAGTATTTGCATTCTTATGAAGTGTTCTTATTTGTCTTGTTTAAGAAAAAAAAAATCTGAAATTTGTCAAATAAAAACCTGTGTAGAAAGCACAAACAATAAAAAAACTAAATTATAAATTTTCGTTCTCTTCACACGAGGCATCTTTTTCACCCTATTGGATTAAAAAAAAAGGAAAATTAAAACTCTTATATGGGAGCGGCCCACCCTAATTGATAAGTTATTTAAAATGATGACAGTTAAATTTAACCAAGTTAAAGCCAACTAACCTAAGAAAAGTAAATAAATGCAAAGTTAAGAATCAAGTTAGCATCACTTAGTATAGATGTTACCAATATCAAGTTAAGATTATAACATCGAGGACCTCTTATATGTTATAATAACGTATCAAATGCACTGATTTGGTAATAATGATTAAATAGGTTGCTTAAAATTTTGACCATTAAATTTTAGATAAAATTACCAAACTTAGCAAAGTTGCAACTTATTAAATAATCCCCAAATCATAAAAACATTAATCCTATACATGGACATTGATAAAGTTCAACAAGTTACATCAAATTTAAATAGGATTTTAATTCAAACGAATCACTAAAAATTTGAAAAAATAATTTACAATTAAAGTTACTGAAAATAACAAAATGTAGTTCATTGGAGCCAAAACAAAAAAAAACTATGAGTCTATGCTCGAGACCACACTTAAAATAGAAATGGTGTAAAAAATTACTTAGCTTAACAGTAAATGGGTGATTGCCTCAAAATGGCCAACAATCAAGGTTATATTTTAGTCGAAAAAGAAAAACAAAATTTGTATGAAAAAACTTAACTAAATGTTTTACTTAGTAACTAACAACAGCACTTAACAACAGACATCTGTTTTTTTATTATTTTTTTAATTATTAGGTTTCTTCTTAAATTTGGTAACAGGGGAATGTCAGTACTTTCAGAAAAATGACAAATGGTCCAAATTATTAGAAAATATACATAAATTAATAATAACTTAAACACAAATTATAAGAACGAATGTGTATTTAAAAAATAAAATAACTGTTGACAAATGAACGCATACAACAAAGCTTAATTTTAAAAATATTTGAAAATAAAACAAGCAGCATAAACCTAATAACAAAAATTACTTATTATGTGTAACATGCAGGTAAAAAAAGTAAATAATACCTCCTATTCCAAAAATAATTACAATAAGTACAAAATACAAAACTAAACGCAAAAGTATTATTTTTGTTCGAAAACATTTACTGGTTTCGTAAATTTATAGAATGTTCAAAAATTCTTGGAACCGAACATTAGCTTTTCGGTTTAACCTGTGTCGTCTTGTGTTTTTTCTCCATTTTTTCGTTGCTTCCGTTGTTGTTGTTGTTGTGTGGGTGTCATTTCAGCTATTGATAGAACCGTTTTCTTCTCCTTTTTTTTATATACTTCAGCCTTTCTATTTCCTTCATGAACTTTTTATTTTCGAGATCAGCCATTATATTCCTATATCTTTTCCTTTCTGCTTCTCGTTTTTCCTGTGGTTGTACCTATCTTTTGGTTTCCCCACGTTTCTTAAGCTAAAATAATGTTTCTGTTGAAACAAACTCTATATAATGCTCATTCCCCTGGAATGATGTCATTTCCCTGGAAATATTTTTCCAGGGTAATGACAACAGGGGAATGACAAAATATGAGGTTTTTTTTTGATAAAAAATAAGCGCCAGAAGCGATCTTATCGAGGTTACACACAGATATATATCACATTTAACTTTAGTTTATTACTGTACAGTTCTAACAATATTTTAATGTCTATTAAAAATATTACTTACCAGGGGAATTACAGTTTGAATGTGACTACACACAGAAAGAACACAATATATAATACCATGTGGAATTAAATGTGTATGCAACAGTAAACTGTTGAAAGCTTAATAAAGCAATAAACACTTTGTATTTTCAACTAATTAAATAAACCTTTGGCCCCATCTATCTGACACTAGTGGAACTTTTCTACTACCAGGGGAATGAGGTACCGATGTTAGATTCGAAAGTTCTCAAATTTTTAAAGACCAAATGTATAACTTTTTATTGATTGGTTTAGGGCGATTTTGAAACAATATTTATTCTAATTATATATTAATTTACTAGTTATTTAAGATCACCTGATTCTCTTACAATTAATATTTACGTACTGTCATATCAGGAACATACAACCCAGGGGAATGACAATTCACACATAAAATATTTCAAAAATAGGATTATTTGTTATATTCAAAGAAAGAAATTTAGCGACTATACTCTGTTTTTAAACTAAGAGGAGCGAATTGAAAAGTCCTATTTACACAGGGAAAAATAACTAAAAAGTAACTAGATATAATTTTAGCGGTAAATTTAAATTTGTCTTGTTTCATTTCAAGAAAAACATTTCAAAACTTTGTTATGAATTCATTGAAGTCAAAGTTTTAGATAACCAACGAATAAAGATGACACTAAATTGTGCTCATTCCGTTTTTGATTTATAATTATTGTATTTTAGTTGTATTTTTATTTTTTCCTTACTTCGTCTCATATCGTAGCTCGGACCAGTATGTCGAGAAGAGAATCGCCCAAGCAGCGACCAAATGTCAGTAAATTGAGTAAAATGTCTCCCAACAAAATACAAAATAATTTACATTTTGAGTTTAACATAGAGTTTTAATTCGATATTTTATTCATTGTTTTATAAGTAACTGTGATTAGAAAATTATATATCTATTATAATAACAGAAAAGAAAGTAAATAGTAGGTTTTTTAATTTGATGGAAAAATTAGAAAAATAGGTATGCCAGTTTTATTTGTTGAAATGAAATTAAGCACCTATTATTACCTACCTATTACAAAACATATTTAGGAGGGACTGAAAAATATGTAGTTGAAGAAAAGCTTATTTAAAATGAAGAATTTTGGCAGGTACAAAAAAGAAAAGTTTATTTTTATATTTCTTTATAGGTATAGTTTAATTTGTAATATTTTTTCTTACCATTAGTTGTATGGATTTCCTAATTAAATAAGGGTTCTTTCTTCAGGTAAAATGTAGCAAAGTTCTGAAGTACGATACGATATGCAGACAAGTGTTTTGAAATGAAATAAATCAAATCTATACGAATTTTGTGTCCACTAACAGGATGTTATATTCAACAGTCGAAAGTGTGAACTTGTGGGCAACAGCTTATTAAATGTATGTAGAAGTCCAAGAAAGTGCAATGGTACCAGCTTTTACTATAATAATAATGGTTTTTATCATTCTCAGTTTTTTTTGTAGATAGGATTTATAATTGTTGCTTAAATTCCACATTGTGTATCAGAATGTCTTTGGTCTTCTTGAAAACATATTTTTATACAATATAAAGCAGATGGTATATTTTTTTGAGACATCCTTCAAGCCTTTCAAAAACTAAATGTTTATTTGCAGGTAAGATAATATGTATCTTAATTTTGTATGATCATTTATTGTATAGACA